AAAATACATAAATCATGTTTTAATTTTAGGTCCCAACGATAATCTAATTTACCACGAATGATATGCCGCCTTAGGGTAGGTCACATAACCCGCTAATTGAACCGAGACCTTCTCAATTAATAAATATAATCAAAATATATCATATATTTATGTTTATTAATTATGGTTATTTCGGTCAAAATATAATTAACTAATTTAATTATATTTTTATGAGTGATTTTGGAATCCAAAGACTTAATTCCAAAGTGCTGCCTTAGGGTAGGTCAAGTTGGAAATACATCCCCGAAACCTATCGATAGGAAGTCAACCTTATTATTGATCCAGAATGGACATGCTTCTTAGGGAGGGCGGATCAATGCCACCGCGAAGTGCTTTCCGATTCTCACGGTGTTGAACTAACGGTGGAGACCAGTGAGTCGTATTGTCATACAACCCTCTCACACTCAACATTTTACAAATATGTATTTTATTTGAAAATCATCTCATGGTTATCAAATCCATATAAATAAACAATCTATTTATCGGATATGTGAAATTCTAAAATTTAACACTTTTATTCAATTTCACACATAACATAAGTGTGCAAATTAATTTTCCAACTTAAATCAATTTAATCATATTAAATCAATTTTAATGCATGGTCATTATTTTATTTTGTTTTTCAAAACTCTTTTAAACAAATAAAATAAATAAAATTATATGCGTGTATGCATGAGATGTTATAAATATGAGTAGACACACTATATCTATATGGCATGTTATATGCATGGACATATAATATAGAATCATCAAATAAATATAAGTATAAAATATGTAATCAGCTATTGAGATGAATTTGACTGAGTCCTATGGGAAAAATAAATTACAAGCATATCGAACAAATAATTATTGCAACTAAATCGAATAAATAAATAATTACAATAATTATTTTCTTATGTTACATCAACATGTCTTCAATTTAAATTATTCGTTCTTCGGGTCTTCAAATTCGTTCGTCTTTGGGTTGGGCTTTATCTTCTTCCAGGCCCAAAACTCTTTTAAATCTCTCAACGCGCGTAACGAGGGTTTCAGAAACCCTTGGGTCCTGTTGGGTGTGCGCTTGTGCTGTGCTGGGGCGCGCCTAGGGATCATCCATAGGGTTTCAGGGCAAGGGCGAACTTTATGAAGTTTTTCCGGCTTCACAGTTTTTTATTTCTCATCCGACTTTTGTCCCGCTCCATGATGCTTTATCTAACCCTAATCTACCCACATCTTAGCATTACAATAATTCTAATTTCCTGAATAAAATTAAAAATAATTTTAATGAACGAATTTAACCGATCTATGGAACTATATAATTAACGACTAAATCAATCATCCACACATTCATCAACATGAATAAATATACACATTCATAAATAAATGCAAGTGCCTACCCATCACAAACATACAAATAAAATACACATATTTAATATAAATTTGATTATCACATAATCGGAGCATAAATTAATATAGTTTATAGACCGCTGTGATACCAATTGTTAGTTTTAAAAACCATTTTCTATGTGATAGCATTTATCTAGCGGACCGTGTATAACAAAAATTTTACAAACCTTTGAGATACTCTATAGATTACATTAATTTATGCACGAATAAATTAATCAAATTAATTTAGGTCAATAACTTAAGTTATTTGACCACGAACGTTTCTCGCTCCAAGCTTATTTAAAATACGCGAATCTTTCTTGTCAATTCCTTGAATCTATGAAGACGTGTGTGTGGGCACACCTAAAACAAAACAGGATTAACAAATAAGCACTCAAGTTTTCCAAGAACACCAACGCATGCACGACATGGAATTTAGGAGAAAATTTTTCCTTTCCTTACTCTATAGAATTCTGCCACACTATGCTAAGACGAGCAAAAATTGTGCTCTCCAATTTTCTGCAATCTCATATTTGTAGAGTAGTAGTCAGACTCCCAAAAGAAGTCTAAACATTATTTCCACGATAAAGCTTGATAATTATCTCTCACTTCTAACTCTCCAATTTTATGCAATCTCATATTTGTAGAGTAATAGTCAGACTCCCAGAAGAAGTCTAAACATTATTTCCACGATAAAGCTTGATAATTATCTCCCACTTCTAATTGATTTTGGAAATGAAATTCCCTCTCTCCCTTATCCTATAGGGCCGGCCACTACTGGGATAATACTCTCTGTGGTAGGTGCAAAAACTCATTGGGGAAGGAGGTAAAATTCTCCTTTATCCTGTAGCCCATTTTTAACTCAAATTCTAATTCTAATTAATTTAATTTGAATTTCAAGTGGACAACTTATCAAATAAGTCAATTGGATAACTTAGAAAGTAAGCAACTGAATCCCAGAGGGATTCACACTATGCTGGGCGTGTACACCATGTGGACAACTCCACTTATGTGTTTAAAAATTCAAATTTAAATAACTACATTATTGTTAATTTATATTAATTCTCAATTAATTATTCTTGAGCGTTCTATTTAGAATTCTATAATTATAAAATTCTCATTTTGCACTTAGTGTCTTATAGGATTACAAGGATGACGCGGGACTCATGGACCTATAATTCTGAGCTCCAATAAAATTAATAATTAATTAACTCGTTAATTAATTAATTAATTAATTCTATTAATTTTAAAAGTTACTCAACAATAAACTTATAATTGCACTATCGTAATTATAGATTTAATTTACTTCTAAACTATGAAGTGTTCATTTGATATAGTCATTACACATAGATCAATCCTCCATAATTAATTCACAATTAGAGTTGGATAAAATCCGTTAACCTCTCTAATTACATATTTATCCTTGAGTACCATTGATTCTCTAATGGACAGTGATTCATAAAACAAATTCATAAATTAGAGCTCCTACTAGTCCAAGTACCGAATCAATCCTCAAGAGAATTATTTACGTGCTTCTTTCTCAAGAAAGAATGGATTCCATCTCTTGTATTAGCATTCCCGGCTACTAACTTTATCATGTATATAAAATATAAGGAATATGATTTAACATCTCGGAATCCGTACCGAGTAAATCAAAAGACACAAATCCATAAATAGGAGTCTACTAATAACTCAGGATTAAGATCGTTATATATACAACTATCGGTAGACTCAATTAGAATTTCTATGCATAACGAAAAATATTCACGGTTCCACACAATCTCATTATGCTTAATACAGTCATTCAATATCTTACCATATTAACAGTGCGGATAATATCATTCCGTTCTAAATGGGAATAACATGTATTAGTAATGTTTTAATTAAGGATTCTGAACTTTAAATAAATTCATTACAAACATTGTTTTGATTATTATCCTTAAATATTATCCTCTTACATATAGTACTTATATACAATATTTAAGGTCACGTAAATAATCACGGAATTTTCAGTGGTATTCATAAAATATTCAATAATATATGCACATAAAATGATTAATAAACTCTTTTTATTAAATTAATAATAAATATCTTATTACATTTCATGCTTTTAGGACACCATTCCCAATAGCTGTAATGTTTGTCAAAATGAAAATTAAATTAAAAATTTAGAAGGTATCTTCCACATGAGTGTTTAATGAGGGTAATTAATATCTTTTTGTATCAAATTGATCCTCATACACGTATCATAGGCAATTTTTTTTTTTTGAAATTAAGAGTTAACCGTTTTGGGGGGAAAATTAGGGGTCCCCCAATTTCAAATTTTTTTTTCATTAATGACGTGTATAAAAGATTCAATTCGATGCAAAAGGACCATAATTATCCTTATTAAACACTCACGTGAAAAATATCGTCTAAATTTTTTACTTTGTTTACAATTTGACGAACAACGCAACAAACTTCAAAGTTTAACGGGTGAATTGCGAAGAAAAAAAGTTAAGAGACTAATTTACCAAACTCGATTTGTTGAGGGGGTTTCGATGCAAAAAACCCCCTAACGACCACGTAGACATTAATTTAGTTTTACTCCCCCCCCAAAAAAAAAGGAAAAAAGTTTATTTTGCATATGGAAAAGATCTAATGGTGTGTTCATTTGCACAACTCAAGTCATGACTTAAATAGCGTATGTGAGAGAAAAAGACTATAGCAAAACAATTGAATTTGAATTTATGTGAGGGAAAATACTGTAATAATATGACTTAAATTGTGTAAAGAACACACCCTAAATATCCATCACATTTTTTTTTATTTTTTTAGTTTTTTTCTCAATTTTTTTTCTTACTCTTATTCTTATTTTCTTTAAGGACAATTAGGACTCTTTCATTCTCAAAATTGACTATGGATCAAGAAGATGAAAGAATTGAGCATAAAATCTAAATCCTAAAGTATAAGTATGAAACAATCTAACCGACTTTATTATTTGGTAAATTTAAAATTGAGGATTAACTTTATTAGTGTTCCTGAATTTTAGAGTCATTTTTACTTTATTCTTAAATTTTAAAAACTCTAACTTTGCTCCTTGAACTTAGAATTGTTCTCACTTCATCCATTCTGTTGTAATTTTTGTTAAAAACAGATAGAAAAAAGAGAGTAATGTAATCACGTGGTCTTTCTGTTTAAATTTATGTTAAAAATAACAGATAAAAATCATATGGTCACACTATCCATTTTTAAGAAAAATTACAACAAATGAAGTTAAGTGAGAACAATTCAAACTGTAAGGAGCAAAGTGAGAATTTTTAAAATTCAGGAGTAAACTGATAATGACTCTAAAATTCAGGAGGCATCAATGTAATTAACCTAAAATTGAAGGTATATAAATGAAAAAAAAAAAATTTATATTTATGGCCATTCATCTTTATTATATAAAAAAAGGAGTAGAGTGAAAAATGAAGTGAAAAAATAAAACTACAAGAAAATTAAAATGGTCATTGAAACCAATAATCCTTTTCTCATTCAGAAAAAAAAAAAAAAAGAAAAATCTCCCCCTTATAATTCAGGGGAAAAAAAAATCTATCTCACCTCGGGACATTAAACCCTGAACCCTGATATATTTTTGAAAAAAATAAATCCAAACAAACTACTGTTTTTGCAAACCTCCAACCTCTCTCTCTCTCTCTCTCTCTCTCTCTCTCTCTGATTTTGTCAGCCACGGCCACAGCTCCATTGCTTTTGAAGCTCCTCATAAAATTCCCACAACCCCTTTTCCTGCCACAACCACACTCTTCAAGGTTTTAACTTCCCATTTGTAAGCTCTTTTTCTTTCTTTGGTTCTCTTTGATTTTTAGTAGTTTACTTCCTTGCTTATTTAATGGGTGATTTTACTTTTGATTGCTTAGTTCGTAGTTTTCATCGATTTTTTGTTCTGTAATTAGTTTTCTGCCAATTGGGTTTCAATAATACACCATGAACATCATTCATACATATTTTTTCGATTCAAACAAGACAACGACATGTTTGACAGCGTACGTCCATAGGCCAATGGTGCCATGCTCTTGACACTCAGCCGAAATATCTCTCCGCAAATCATAAGTCCGATATGTACGGTCTCAACAAACCTCATACGACAAAACCATGTTTCTTTGATCCCTCCCGACCTAAAGCCTCTCAACTCCAAGATCTCCAGCTATATGCGTCATGGCTCGGTCGACGAAGCCCAGAAGCTGTTTGACAAAATGCCAGAGAGAAACACTGTTACCTGGAACGCAATGATCCGTGGCTATTTTCTGAATCGATGTGCTGATAATGCCATCGAGATGTTTGATAAAATGCCGGAGCGAGATGTCATTTCGTATAACACGGTGATTGCTGGGCTGATGCAGTGTGGAGATGTTGATGGCGCGTGGAGAGTCTTTAGTGGGATGGGGTTTAGAGATGTTGTCACATGGAATTCGATGGTTGCGGGCTATATTCGTAATGGGATGGTTGGTGAAGCTTTACGAGTGTTTGATGGGATGCTGTTGAAGGATGTGGTTTCTTGGAACTTGGTAATTGGTGGGCTTGTGAGATGTGGAGAATGTAATTTGGCTGAGAAATATTTTAGACGAATGATTACCCGGGATGTTGTGTCTTGGACAATAATGATTTCGGGGCTCGCAAGTGCAGGGCGGATTGTTGAAGCCCGTGAGCTCTTTGATAACATGCCCTTGAGGGATACTCAAGCTTGGAATGCAATGATGGTTGGGTATATGCAAAATGGATACATTGAAATTGCTCAAGCTTTGTTTCAGAAAATGCCAAAGCGAGATTTTGATTCTTGGGGTGAATTGGTGAATGGGTTGGTCAAGAGTGGGAGGGCTAACCTTGCCATGAAACTTTTCATGGAAATGCCGGAAAAATGTCAAAAAACATGGAATTCAATTCTGTTGGAGTTCACAAGAAATGGACTTGTTAAGGAAGCACATACATTTCTGGAGAAAAGCCCTTATAGTGATGTTGTGTCGTGGACGAATATCATTGTTGGGTACTTTGAGATTGGGGAAGTTGACAACGCAGTTAGTGTTTTCGACTTGATGCGAAGTCGAGATGCAACTGCATATAATGTGACCATATTCGGATTGGGAGAAAATAATCGCGGCGAAGAAGGTATAAAGCTTTTCATTAGAATGAAAGAATTGGGATCTCTGCCAGATGAAGCCACATTTACTAGTGTCTTGACAATATGTTCCGACTTGCCAACATTACAGCTTGGTAGGCAAACTCATGCCCTGGTTGTAAAAACAGGATATGGTAGTTTTATGGCAGTTTGTAATGCCATAATTACCATGTATGCAAGATGTGGGAACATAGATTCTGCTCTGTTGGAATTCTCTTCTATGTCAAACCATGACATCATCTCTTGGAATTCTATAATCTGTGGATTTGCTCACCATGGGAATGGAGAAAACGCTTTGGACATGTTCCGAAAGATGAGATTACAAGATGTTGAGCCCAATCATATTACCTTTGTTGGTGTTCTATCTGCTTGTAGCCATGCAGGACTGGTAGACCTTGGTAGATATTTCTTTCATATGATGAGACATGAGTATTTTATTCAGCCAACAAGTGAGCATTATACTTGTTTAGTTGATTTACTGGGGAGATTTGGACTTATCAATGAGGCAGTGAGTCTTTTAGATCAGATGAGAGCAGATGGAACTGATGTTCCTGCTAGCGTTTGGGGGGCATTGCTCGGTGCTTGTAGAATCCACAAGAATATTGTGGTTAGCAAGATTGCTGGGGAAAGGATTTTGGAAATGGAGCCTAGCAACTCTGGCGTGTACTTGATTTTGGCAGAAATGTACCTAAGTTGTGGAAAAAGAAAAGATGCTGAAAGCATTTGGACAAGGATGAAAGGCGCAGGAGTCAAGAAGCAGCCCGGGTGTAGTTGGATCGAGTTAAACAACAGCAGCCATGTCTTTCTTTCAGGAGACAGTTCAAACCCTCAGTTTAGTGATATTAGTTCTGGGTTAGAGTTGCTTCGATCAGAGATGGAGACTAAGAATGCAAAACTTGTTGCTGCTTCTTATCAACAAGTTTTATTAGATGGATGTTATGGTTGAGATTTTGTAACTTTCACTTCAAATTGCAGATGTTTTAGTTACAGTGGTCCAAACACAAGGACCATTTGGATGCACGATCATTTTGTTGGTGCCATGTAGTTCCCTGCCTTCAAGATAAGATTGGCCAGGATCTATGGAGAGAGAGATGATCCATATTCAGTTTAAATGATTGTAATCTGCAATACGAAAAATATTCTATTTATACATTCATTTTTCTTTTCATCAGCTGAGATGTGGATCTGCAGAGAGAAGAAATGATCCATACTGCAGTTTGAGGACGTTTAGTTTATGTATTCAGAATCATGATTCAGAATCATTCTCGTTTTACGTGTATTTTTTATGAGAGAAAACACTGTAGAGAACTATGAATCATGATTCAGAATCAGGGACGAATAGAGAAACAAACATCCCCTAGTGATTAGGATTGTTATACGAAAGAATAAAGATATACTATTGGTACATTGTTTTGTTATGTTAAAATAAAAATAAAAAGGTTAACTAAACCTTTAAGTACTGAAATCGTTGGCATGGCTACTTTGGGAATGCCATTAGTAAAAAAATAGCTATATTTGGTATGTAAGACTTTGGAACTTTTGCAATGGAGGGGAAAGATGTGTCTTCGGGTTCCTTTTCAAACAATGGCTTAGTTTGGTAATGCTGTGGATTTTAAAAAAAATGCTTTTAGCTGTGTTGAAAGAAAAAGCAGCTGTTTTAAAAAGCAGCTGAGTGTTTGGTAAATTATAATTATAGTAGCTGTGCTGGTTTCAAAATCAGTAAATAGCGTTTGGTAAATTTTGAGGTGGAATTGCTGTGGGTATGTAAAATGACCAAAATAGACATGATATGAAATTTAAATATATATAATTATTTTTAGTATTTAAAAATACTTGTTTAATTGTGTGAACCCGTATCACTGATTTAAAAAGATATTTTAGGCAAATTACTAGGTGAATTTAAATAAATTTGATTTATTTTATTAGCCAAGAAGCTTGTGTAGAAAAAATATATATTTATTTTCTTTTTCAATGTTTGAATTTATTTAGGTGTGATTCATTTAAAATACTTTTATTAACTAAGCATTTGAGTGTAATATGGTAATGGTTGATTCAAAGGGATAAAACATGGGATAAGAAGCATCTCTGAAATGTAAATTTTCGTGATTTTTCAATATCATCTCTGAAATAAATAGTTCTGAGCGTGTAAACTTGTTCTCATAAGTACAAAACGATCAAGGGAATTAGTAACCAAGAAAGCAAAACCAACCACGTTATGTCGAGGAAATTATAACAAGATTGAAGATACTATAAATACATTACCCAACCAAGCGTGTTAGGAAACTGCTAAGAAAGTAGGCACTAGAACACAGTAATGATGAACTGCCAAACCAAACTCCAACGAAGACAATTTAGTAGTTTTTCAATCCAAAATCAACATTATATTGTCAGAAATGCGACTAAACGAGTTAAATTTAGTAAAAGCGCAGTAACAATTGTTCTATACTTCCATTCCATGAATAATGGCAAAGGCTTTAAACCCAGCAAGAGGGCCAACACTGTAAAATATCAAAGTGTTCAAGTTATCAACAAAGGATGGAAAAGCACAACCATAAAATATGATTCTTTCTGATCCACAATTAAGAGCAATGTTGTGAACTAAAGGTTCTCCAAGTTATAAGTTCAATTATGCAGAACATAAAATCAATCAATACAAAAATAAGAACACAATTTAAACATATATATATAATAACACAAGATGAAGTAGCTTCTAGCAATTGCATTTGCAGCAGAATTCTATTTTTATTCAAGTGACATCCAGATAAAAATTAATCCACCAACTAGCATTATCATTGTGATATATCAGTCATGAACTGTGTGTACAGCTTCTAAGCTAGAAACGACATCTTAAAGAAGCAACATGTGGAAAAACAATCAAAGATCCCACCAGTTTTCCTTTGATAAAGATTATCAAGTATCCCCCTGCAACCCAGTGCCCTCAAATAGCAAACTAATCCGTATAAGGACACCATTAATCTTTTCATGACAATATCACGAGTATGATAAAGCTATTGAGCAAAGCTGGCAAATGGAATGAGATAACAAGCAATCAATCAAACCCATATCTTTGAATTCACCAGGAACTCTTCTTGGAATTTTGGTAGTAATTGAGGTACCAACGCACAAACTTCTTCAATCCAGTCTCCAAATCGGTTGTGGGCTTATACCCAAGTTCTCTGTAGGCCAAACTTATATTGGCATGAGTAAACTTCACATCTCCATTTCTCGGCAGAGGCAAGACCTTCGTCTTGGCCTTCACCTTCAAAAGCTTCTCCAATATCCTCACAAGCTGTGTCACCGGCACCGGTGAAGTATTCCCCAAATTGAAGACCCTCAACTGAGCATTGCCCCTCTTCTTCCCGCCACTCCCGGTGCTTTTCTTCGCCGTGTCCAAAGCCGCCAAACAGCCCTTCACTATATCATCAATGTAGGTGAAATCCCTCGCCACAGTCCCATGATTAGGCGCTTCAAAGATCGTGATCTACTTCCTCTTCAGAATATTCTTACTGAAAGAGAAATACGCCATGTCTGGCCTTCCCCAAGGTCCATAAACCGTGAAAAACATCAATCCAGTAATCGAAAGCCCGTGGATATGGTTATAAGTGCGAGCAATCTCTTCACCAGTCTTCTTCGTTGCCGCGTAGAGACTCGCCGGCTGATCAATCCGGTCCCTCTCCGAGAACGGTACCTTCGAATTCAACCCGTAAACCGAACTCGACGACGCCTAGACGATCGCCGGCTGCGGATTCGCCGACTTACAGACCTCCAACAGATTCACAAACCCAGCTATATTGCTATGAACATAAGAGCTAGGGTTTTGCATTGCGTACCGTACACTAGCTTGAAATCACGAAGAGAGTTTCAGATTTGAGGGTTATTTTGGGAAGAACAAAAATTTCATTAATGAATTTAAGAGATTCCCGCATAATCGGAAATCAGAAGCAGCAATTGAGCTGCTTCTAATTTCAACTTGAAAATAGCTTTTAGATTCTTTAAGAATTTGTTTTTATGTGTTTACCAAACACATTTTTTTAACTTCAGCTGAAAAAAAAAGTGCTTTTGACTTCTCAAAATCACTACCAAACGGAGCCATTTCATGTAGCCCATTAACTTAAAAATAGTTTTCAGACACATTTGAACAAGTTTTCAAGATAAGTTTATATTGCATAAGTGCGAAGCATTAATACCAAAATTCAAAAAAGAAATGCAACACAAACAATTAACCAAAAGCCCCATGAGAAGCAAAACAAACAACCAAGTTACTCATCTGTCGAAATTTCTCAAAGTAGCTAATTATGAGAAAATTGATAAAAACCCCACAGACCCAGATATCTGAATATTTACACATATTTCTTTTTCCATGTGTGTTTTAGTATTTATTCTTCTGGTTCAGTCTATGGTATATACTGTGCGGTTTATTTTTATTTTTATTTTGTTTTCTTTCCATGATTTTATTTTAATATAATTGTCAACTTGATCTACTACGACTGGCATGTACGTCTATGGTTGTTATTAATATTGTTATGTGTGTGTGTGTGTTTTTTTTTTCATTTTTTTTTTTCAGAAGATATATTGAGCTGCTATGGGTAGTAAAAAGAGGAGCTCAGAATCCGCAGAAATTGAAGATGGTCAGTTAAAAGTGCCTGCAAATAATGTTGTCTCGAGTAACAAATTGAAAAAGAAAATAAAGACGGAAAAGAGCAAAGAAGAAGAATCAGTGGTAGATGAGGAAGCTGGACCCTCTATTGTTTCTGATTCCATTAAACCCATGGAGAGAAGAAAGAAGAGGAAAGCATTGGACAAAGAGAGGCGTCGTTCGGCCTTGGAGAATGACGAATTTAAGCCCCAAAAGATGGATGTTGAGCACGACGGTATTCAGGCATCCACCACAGCATCTACGGTTGGATCCTTATCCAGTAGCATTCTGCCTGAGTTCCACATTGGTGTTTTCAAGGACTTGGCGTCCTTTGATGCTTCAGTGAGAGAAGCAGCGGCATAAGCTTTGGTAACAGAGTTGCAGGAAGTTCAGAAAGCGTTTGACAGGCTTGAGAATAAGGATTCGATTGAGGGAGGATTGAAGTTTGATGCTGAAAAGGATGATGGCTTGAATGAGTGTGCACCCTCTTTGAGATACGCAGTCCGTAGGCTTATTCGTGGTGTTACTTCATCAAGAGAGGTATGTTGAATAATTATCTTTTATCTTCTTTTACTTTGTTTGTTTGTTCGTTTGTTTAAAGCTATTTCTGACCGTTGTATGTGCATAAAGACTATGGGTGTTGAGTTGTTCTCTTCTCTATATAAGAGGTTACTGCTTTTATTTATTGTAATAATTTTAAGTTTTGTTCCATTAATAATAATACTTTTGGAAAACCATTAGTCCTAGTATAATTTAAAACGGATAGAGCGTAATTGATTTCAGAGGGATCCTAGAGTTCTTGTAGTTTGATTTGTGCATGATATTTCATCTCTATTTACGTAAACAAGCATATGGATAATTTGATATTGGCCAACCCTTAACACATTATTTTTGCAGTGTGCGAGACAAGGCTTTGCATTAGGTTTAACTTTATTGGTAGCAACCATACCCAGCATCAAAGTGGACTCTCTTCTGAAACTCACAGTCGATTTGCTAGAGATAACTTCATCAATGAAGGGCCAGGTGGCAAGATCTTTTACATTTGTTTCATTGAATTCTTTGGCTGCTTCTCTGCTCTCTCCATGTATGATTCTATAGCTTGTTTCCTTCTGGCGTTGCAGGAAGCAAGGGATTGTCTGTTGGGTCGCTTATTTGCTTATGGTGCTCTTGCCCGGTCTGGAAGACTCGTTGAGGAATGGAATCTTAATCAAAACACACCATACATAAAGGAATTCACCAGTCGAATCATCGCCCTTGCAGCCAAGAAGAGATACTTGCAAGAGCCTGCTGTAACAGTTATTCTAGACTTGATTGAAAAGGTAAATATACCCGGTAGATGAAGTTTGGTTTTGTTTTCATCAAAAGTTCCCAGGGCTTTATCAACATCTTGTTTGTTGAAATTTGGGAAGATTTCTTGTATTTTAGTAAAAAACCTTGATGCTATTTTGGTCTTTGAAAAGTCATTGGAATCTAGGGCCCAAGTAGATGGTGTGTGAAAACTGAAAAATTGACTTTTAGCCAATAACCTTCTTTGTTATTATCATTATTTTTATTTTTTGGGATAAGAAACTTCCTTTATTGTTACTGAAAACAACAGAAAGGAAAGAGGACAAGATGTTCTCGAGAATCAAAACAAAAAAACGGTAAAGAAACAACATGAAAAAATTAAAAATTGAAAACCATCAAAGAACCAGCAAAGACATCACATGTACTTACCCCATTACACCTGTCCAATTCAAAATAATCAAAGAAATTGGAAAGTCTTTAAAAGCTTTATCGGTTGATGGCTTGATGCCCGCAAGAAAGTGGTAAGTTCTGAGTAACTAATTCGCGTAATTGAATCAAGAAGATGAAAGAATGAATTTTTATTGAATTATCCACAAGAACTACAGAAACGGTTTCTTGAAACCGAAGGACCTTTCCTGCTCAGCCAAAATGCCAAGACTTCCGATACAGACTCAATGATTGCCTGGCTCCTTAGTCCAGTGTGTCCACCTATTTATTTCTGCCCCAACAATACTAAACAATAATCCCCTGTGCTCACACCCACAATAACCACGTAAGCATATACTAACACACACAATAACCACGTAAGCATATACTCACACACATAATAACCACGTAAGCCTATACACATACGACCCTATATACTAACAATCCCCTAATCACTTTCCCGACCCTTCCTCACATAAACTTGTCTAAGTAGAGGCTTATCAATTACTCCGCCCCCCAAAAGAGTCACCTTGTCCTCAAGGTGAAATTCAGGAAACTGTTGCTGAATGACATCGAAAAGCTCCCAAGACGACTCATAATCCGGTAAATAACGCCACTGAAGCAAGACTTCTAGCTGCCCAGTATCCTTAGAGAAACGAGTATCTAACAACCTCTCCGGCTCCACACGTAACTCCATGTCAGCCGCCAGAGCGGGCGGAACCTCCTGAGTCGAAATAGGCAGGCCAATGGCTTTCTTAAGCTGCGACACATGGAAGACTGGATGAATCTTAGCCGCTATAGGCAATTGCAACCGGTACGCCACTGCCCCCACACGCGACACGACCCTATAGGGACCATAAAACCGGGGAGAAAGCTTTTCATTCAAAAACTTGGCCAAGGAACGATGGCGATAGGGCCGAAGTTTCAGGAACACCAAATCTCCCACGTCGAACGAGACATCACGACGCTTAAGATCTGCGTTCCTCTTCATTGAATGCTGCGCCCGAAGCAAGTGGCCCTGCAGCTCCTCTAAAATAGCATCCCTAGTTTGCAATTGCTCCTCCAACAAAGAGTTAGCTGTGGAACCCAACTCAAAACGCAGCAATTTAGGAGGGTCACGGCCATACAATGCCCGGAAGGAGTCATTCCCGCGGACACATGGAAGCTTGTGTTATACTAATATTCGGCCCACGCTAGATGAGAAAACCATTGAGTAGGTTTCCCGGAAACAAAACAGCGTAAATAGGCCTCCAAGCACCGATTCACCACTTCCGTTTGTCCATCCGTTTGAGGATGGTAAGCCGTACTATGATGTAAGGCAGTGCCCTGCAGCTTAAAAAGCTCCTTCCAAAATTGGCTGAGGAAAACTTTGTTGTGGTCGGACACAATAGTCTGTGGGAACCCGTGGAGTCGCACCACCTCTTTAACAAACAAGGCAGCCACCGACTTTGCAGAAAAAGGATGGCGTGGACCCAAAAAATGTGCATACTTACTCAACCGGTCAACAACCACTAAGATTGAGTCATTTCCCACCGACTTGGGCAAGCCTTCCACAAAATCCATCGAGATCTCATCCCATACCTAGTTCGGCAGTGGCAATGGTTGTAATAGCCCCCCAGGAGCCAAGGTAGACGCCTTGTTTTGTTGACACACTTGACAAGCTGCCACAAAAGAGACTACATCCTTTTTCATGCCATACCAAAAAAACTCGGAGGACAATCGTTTAAACGTCTTTAGGACCCCCGAATGTCCTCCAACCTTGCTGCCATGAAATTCATAAAAGGACCGGTATGAGAGGAGATAGCCGAGTTAGGACCACCCGACCCTTGCAAAGCAACATGTCATTGCATAAAGAAAACCCCTTCACCCCCTTCGGATTGCCCAGCAACTCTTTCCGAATTCCTGCCAACTTCGGATCAACTAAAAGTTGCTGCCGAATTTCAGCTCCATCATATACCGCGGATGTGGTAAGGAGCATCAATTCCAACCCCGAAGATCGCCTGGATAAAGCATCAGCGACGCGGTTCTCAGACCATGGCTTGTATTGGATCTCAAAATCATAACCCAACAATTTGCACAGCCATTTATGGTGCTCTTCCCCAACTAATCGCTGTTCCAGCAAAAATTTTAAACTTCTCTGGTCAGTGCGGACAATGAAATGCCGCCCAAGGAGATAATGTCGCCATTTCTGGATTGCCAACACCACAACCATCAACTCGCGCTCATAAACGGATTTAGCCCTAGCTCGAGAGGATAATACCTGACTAAAGTAGGCTATAGGCCGTTGTTGTTGCATTAAAACCGCGCCAATCCCAAAACCCGAAGCATCGGATTCTACCACAAAGGGTTGTGAAAAATCCGGTAATGCTAGAACCGGAACTGTAGTCATGGCCTGTTTCAATCTTCGGAAAGCAGCCTCAGCCTCTTCGGACCAATTAAAACTATCCTTCTTCAATTGTTGTGTCAATGGCCAGGAAAGATGGCCATACCTTGTCACGAAACGCCGGTAATAACCGGTCAAACCCAAAAACCACGCAGCTCCTTAATAGAACCGGGAGTGGGCCAATCCAACATAGCTTGAATCTTGTTGGAATCGGCCGAAACTCCATCACAAGAAACAATATGACCCAAATACTCCAATCGACTTTGGGCAAAAGTACATTTTTTTTGGTTGACATATAATTGGTTATCTTCCAAGGCAGTCAAAACCACTTCCAAATGACCAACATGTTCCTCCAAGGTTTTACTGAAAATCAAAATATCATCAAAAAAGACTAAAACAAACTTCCGCAAGAAAGGTTTTAGTACCTCATTCATCAAAGATTGGAAGGTGGCCGGAGCATTAGTTAGCCCAAATGGCATAACCAAAAATTCATAATGGCCCTCATGTGTGCGGAAAGCCGTCATAGGAACATTCCCCACGCGCATCCGAATTTGGTGATAGGCCGATTTCAAATCCAGTTTGGTAAAGATAGTGGCACTAAACAATTCATCCAATAATTCTTCAATCACCGGGATGGGAAACTTATCCGGAACTGTAGCTTTGTTGAGAGCGCGATAATCAACGCAAAAGCGCCAACTACCATCTTTTGTTTTAACTAGAAGCACCAGACTAGAAAACGGGCTGTTTCTTGGTTGGATGATCCCGGCTGCAAGCATCTCTCGTACCAACTTTTCAATCTCATTTTTTTGAAAAGGGGGATACTTGTAGGGTCTAACACTAATAGGAGCAGTGCCCGGTTGAAGCTCAATGCGGTGGTCATGCATACGTTGAGGTGGAAGTCCATCCGGCATATTCAAGACCCTTGGATGAAGCTGCAATAGTGCACTGATCTGGGCAGGAAGTGGCCGGTCTGGTTCCCTTTCCATGTCCAACGCCTGTAACTCCAAATAGATGCCTTGTCCCTTATGTTTAATGGTCCGAAACATTGCTTTAAGGGAAACCATAGAAGTGGAGAGAGTCATGTCACCCCGCAATGTCACCACTTCCCCCCTAATCCGAAACTTCATCAATTGAGATTTACAATTCACATGCATACCCCCCAATGTTTCCAACCACTGCATGCCTAGGATAACATCCACCCCCCCTAACTCCAATGGCAAAAAGTTTTCTATTATGGTTAGTTGCGGTAAAACTCAATGACACTTCACGACAAAGTCCCTACCCTTTAACCGAATCCCCTGTGCCTACTTGCACTCCAAACCCGGCAGTGGGAAAAATTGGAATGGACAATTTCTCTACTAAACTTAAGGAAATAAAATTGTGCGTTGCTCCAGAATCGATTAAGACAATTACCTCTTGTTGAGCAATTAATCCGCGAATCTTCATAGTTTTGGGTGTTGAAAGGCCCACCACAGAGTTCAATGATAGTTCGATAAGCTCGGGCTGCCCCTCCTCCCAAACAGTCTTTGCCACGTCAATATCTTCCTCCAAACATTCCGTGGAGTCCTCATCACTAACCAACATAATCCGGAGCTCTTTCTTCTTACATCGGTGACCAAAAAAAAATTTCTCATCACACCTATAACAAAGTCCCTTGTCTCTCTTCTCCTGCAACTCCGAGTCCAACAACTTTCGAAAAGGAAATTCCCGCTTTTGGCCTACTGCCCTAGCCACCATGGCTGGAGCTCACTGAGGTCATTCCACTCCAGGAATTGATCTAGCAGGAAAGGTAGAGAAATCAGCTCGTGGACCTCCCAAAAATGTGGCCTCGACACTCTTGACCCTGCAACCTCCCGACGTAGCAACTCATTTTTCTCCTCGATTCTCTGGGCGATCTCCATAATTTCGCTTAATCCCTCCGGTTTTAAGAGTCGTAACTCCGCCCGAACCTCCGCCTTTAATCCATTAACAAAAATGCCCTCCAAAATTTCCTCAGGAACTTCTAAGAGTGGGGCGGCAGAAACTTCAAATTGTCTGCCATAATCCGCCACAGTCCCCTCTTGTCGAATCGCCAAGAACTTCTCACAGAGGTTTCCAGCCTGCGATGAGCGGAAACGCTGCAAAAGAGACAACGTGAACTCCGTCCAACCGTGAAACGGACGGCGGCCATTCTGCCACTGGAACCACGACAGGGCGTCTCCTTCCAGAGCAATTCTAGCGGTAATCAGCTTCTCCCTCTCTGAACAACGATTGATGGAAAAAAATTGTTCCATTCGGAACACCCATCCATCGGGATCATCGCCACTGAATACAAGACACTCCACCTGCCGCCGGCGGTATGAGGTCCAATCCTCATTCTCCGGCAACTCACCCAAAACCCCCCTGTTTTCCCCACTCTCCCTATGTCGCCCTCCTCTGTAACCATTTCCACCCATGCCACATCTCTGATCACGGAATCCCGGGTTTTCAGGTTCACCGAAAACCCCCCGCCACTCTCCACGACGACCCAACGCACCTTCCCTTGGGCCCCCATTCATTCCCTCTTGTCGACCCTCTCGTTCCTCTTCCCCTCCGTTGCGACAGGAATTCCGCAAATTCCTGAGTTCCGCCGATCGTTCTCTCCCCCCCCCCCCCCCCCCCCCCACCC